AATGAGCAGAATGCGTTCACGAGCTTCGCTTTGTGACCAATCTTTGACCATAACTTTTCCTCCCTTTCACTTATTGTGTAACTGAAAGTGACGTCCTTCCTTACACGATTTCATCTCACGTGAAGTTATCTAATGTGGCAGAGACAGTGACGTCATTAAGATGGAATTCAGCAGCGTGTCCTGTCTCTGCATTGCGGTTGCACACTGAAGACTGAAAATTCATTATTCCAGTTTAAAAAAAATAGATACATGGGCTGGAAACGTACGAATGAAAGGTTTCTTGAAAAGGAATACTGCAGTCAGAGGGTTGTTACATTTTTACTTGTATGATTCGCTGTAAAGTATAAAATAAAAATAAAATAAATAGTTTGACGAAGATTAGTAGAGGAATCTTCTTTCTTTTTTTTAATTTAAAGGAAGCATGCCTGCATCCTGGCATCCTCTAAGATATTGAAACCAATGCAAATAAATTAATTTTAAATAAAAGAATTTCTGGTCAGAAAGAAATATAGACGAGTTTTTCAAACAGGGGGCAGTTTTTCCATATAATGGCTATTTTGTGAATTTTTATTTCAAGGAAACGGCTAACTCTCGCTTTATATGAAGAGGCTCATGCGAACATTGGTCTTTCCAATTAATAAAAAAAAAAAATGACTCAAGCAGCATGTGAGAAAAGTTTTCAGCACATGCTGATTGGAAGAAGTCTCTTGAAAAAGGCTGTGAGAGCAAGTCGCTGTCCTAGGTCGCAGATCCCGTCTTGGTTGCATGATAAAGGCTACCATGGAAGAAGAATCATGGGCTTTTCCGTTTAAGGAAAAGGAGGATTGCTAGCTCAAACTCATTTCTCGGTGTGGGATTTAAGCTACGAGCAATGGCACTTTCTATTCAACGAATAGGTCGTAGAAGACACGTGGTTACAGGCAGGATAATCCCTCGTGACAGGTTTTATGTCCCTCGTAACTTTGAACGTAGGTTAAACTTTTCATTAAAATAGGAGCACTTTTCGGGAAACTCATAGCATCTATTCATACTAAATAGGGAGGATATTGAAGCTTTCCTTAGTCCATTAAATGCTAGTTAAAACGCTTGCACGAAAATAATTGAATTCAAATGGCAGCTAGTGTGGTGTGTTGTGTACAGGTACGTCGCGGTCACTCCGTTTTATTATGAATGGTATGTGACTGACCTGCGATGACCCGACCGAGAAGTTGATCTTCGTCGAGCAGAACCACAGAATTGGAGCCGGCAGTGGGGATGGGACCCCCCTCCAAATTATTGTTGCACACCATCCCAACGGAGAGTGAATGGGTGAATGGAGAGAGCCTGCGAGTCCGACCGCCTCCACGGGAGGGTGAGAGGGAGGGAGCCACTCGCGCGCCGAGCACACAAGCACAGCCGGGGGAGGAAAAATTTCTAGGAAACGAGGAAAAGGGGAGCGTGAACCGATCTCCCGACGTCCGTCGCCCCCTTTCAGCTGGGATCGACTAGGGGGAAGGGGATCCAGGATCCATGATCTGGGGAGTGAGAGGCTCGGGCCTACGCAATCACTTTCACTTTCCCAAAATCTTGCTTCGATTCGGTCACCATTATCTCATTTCCGCCCAGCCCTCTCTCGACGAGAAAGTGCCGGTCAAGAAGTCGTCCAAATACCGCCTCGTTTTTCAGACAATTTAAAGAGCTGTAGACCACGTGTCACGCGCCTTGAATTAAAGGGACTTCGAAGCTTCCTTACTTTGCTTCATCCAAAAAATGTTTGGACCTACAAAAAGGAGAAACACTAGAAATGAATTATTGATCACCAGTTCAAGATTTACTCCTTATTTCTAAAGCTCTAGAGAATCGTTTATAGAGAGAAGTCTAGGAATGAGAGTGAAATTTGGGACCTTGACGGCGATGAAAAGGGGACATTAAACGGTAACGGCTCCCTATTAAGAACACTCGCTTGTGGCTCTCTCACGACTCCGCAAGGACACTGCCCCCCCCCCCCCCCCTCTAGAGGTATGTCCATGGGATTGAAAAAACCAGCCGCACATTGCCTTGGATCACCAGCTCCACGTGACTCGGCTTCATCCTCTTTTGGGAGGGATCAATACAAGTTCATCGTTCATGGGGCTTAAAAGAACGTCTTCGGCGGAAACATCTCAGGGGAAAATTATCGCTTCCTTGAAAAATATGTGCGAAATATCGCCAGTTCGGGTTGCAGCAAGCGATAGCGAATGATCCTTCTTCGTATGTAAACTACAAATTTGCATCGTTCGCCTTTTGGTCCCCCCCCCCCCCCCCCCCCCCCCCCCCCCCCCC